TAGTGTGGCATTTTAAACGATCGTATTATTGACCTTTTTTTTTCGTAATAACTTAAACGCTGAACAATTTTTGGATTTTTTGAAAACTGAATTATGGGGTGTGATTGGAGAACTACCACTTGATGTTAAGCGAACAATGATTTTTTAACTTGATGGCGCATCTATTCATAATACCGTAATCGTTCGAGCATCCATGGTTAAACGAGCACTTTCCACACATGGATCGGAAGAAACAGTCCCATCATCGAGTGGCCCGCTAGGTCACTAGACTTAACACCACTTGATTTTTACTTATGGGGAACTCTTAAGAATAAAGTTTATAAAGTGAGACCCCAAAATCAAGATGAACTTTGTAATAGAATTAGGCAAGCTTGCCAAGAAATTAATGGGCAAGAGTTAAGAGAAACAATAAGGAACGAATCGAGAAATGCATTCGGATTGACGGTGAACTGGTAGAAAGGGGCTATATTTAAAACTGATTTTGAGGCTATTAATTACCTAAATAATTTTGTGTTTGTAATCTGTTAGTTAATTTTGTAAAGTTAATTAAAAATATGTGTCCATTTTTATTCATGATACAATTTGATACCAAATTAAAAGTTGAAATTTGGGACTGAAAAGTTTTTGGATAAAAAATTAAAATACGAATTTTTAAACAAAAGTTGGTATATGGGGTATTTTTTTTATTCTAAACAACTTTGCTATAACTCTAACTCGAAGCAAAATATTGACAATGTAACAACGTAATTTGCTCTTAAGGAAATGAATAGATGCCTCTTGGTGAGCTGCGCAACTAATAAAAAATTCAAATCGATTAATACAAAAATACAGAAAATACAAAGGTGCTTCCATGTAAAGTGAAACACACTGTATAAAGATATCTTTCAGCCTTGAAAAATGTTACTTTACCGCTTAGGGTCTACAATATACTATAATATATTATGTGCCATATTCAATCACTTTAGTGTCGAGTACTGACGACATTTAACTTTGTGATTGGTGGAAATTAAGACGAGGGAAATAGTCATTGTTAAAGTCGCTGTCATGGGTTAATCGAAAACCGAATAATCGGTTTTTCGGGTTGGCCAAAACCGCGGTTAACCGAAAACCGGTTAACCAAAAAAAACGGCTTTGGTTCCCATGCTGGGAATCCCAGCCCTAATTTTAATCTAAAACTTTAATTTAAGCGGTTTTTAAATTACTTTAATGATTAAAGTAATTTAAAAACTGCTTAAACTAAAGTTTTAGATTAAAATTAGGGCTGGGATTCCCAGCATGGGAACCAAAGCCGTTTTTTTTGGTTAACCGGTTTTCGGTTAACCGCGGTTTTGGCCAACCCGAAAAACCGATTATTCGGTTTTCGATTAACCCATGACAGCGACTTTAACAATGACTATTTCCCTCGTCTTAATTTCCACCAATCACAAACGCGCAATTTTGAATTACAAATGGTTTCTAGGTGAAAAAACTGTGTGACAGCACCTGTCAGCAGTTTATTCGAGTTTACCCGCGGCAAAACTTGACAGCTGTTGTCACCGAAAATTGCAATTTATATTTTAATTGTTAACTATTACTCATGAAATAGTCTTGTCAAATACCATTCGGGCATCTAATTTTTCCTGTGAAAAAAATCGAAAAAACACAATGCTAAGTAATATTTTTAAACAAAATGCATTCGTGCAGGTGCAAAAATCCTCCTCTTCGACTCGGATTTTTGTTGCCACCAGCACTCATACTTTTTGTTAAAATATTACTTAGCAACGTGTTTTTTCGATTCTTTTCGGAAAAATTAAATGCCCTTATGATATTACTTACGACTATTTCCCACCTGCAGTTTTTTCGAGTTTACCCGCGGCAAAACTTGACAGCTGTTGTCAACAAAAATTGCAATTTATATTTTAATTGTACCATAAATAATTAAGTTTTTAGTATTTAGTGATTAAATAAATTACCTATTTTTCAGTTTTCAAATTACATATTTATTATGTATGCATGTATAATAGGTAGTATGTTTTGTAAGCTATACATATATATAGCTACATATATAGCTACATATATTTATGCAGAATAACTCTTACTCATGAAATAGTCTTGTCAAATACCATTCGGGCATCTAATTTTTCCTGTGAAAAAAATCGAAAAAACACAATGCTAAGTAATATTTTTTAACAAAAGGCATTCGTGCAGGTGCAAAAATATTACTTAGCAACGTGTTTTTTCAATTTTTTTCGGAAAAATTAGATGCCCTTATGATATTACTTACGATAAAACGTCAAATTTACGTAAATTCCAAAAAAACTTCTAATAATAAAAATTATTCTGTAAAATATCAGTCTATACGTATGCTTAGCGTAAGTAGGTTATTAGTATTTTTGTAATAAAATTGATTAAATAAGTGACTGTTGGGAATATTTTAAGAAATCTGATAACAAATTGTATATAATATGTTTTTTGTGCAAAAAATAAACTCAAATACACAAACGGAACCTAAAGTATGTGCCTAAAATGTTGACATGTACACATTGGAACTAAATTAAGCTAGAATAGGAAACAAAAGTATACTTTTGTATACTTATAACTTATAAAAAAAAATCTATTTACTTATAAGTTATAAGTAAATAGATTTTTTTTTTATATAATTAGCTCGTTAATAACTTTTTCTACTTTTTCTACTCCTATTACGGAATATGACTGTTCTAATATTACTTTTATAAATGGAATGACATATGAGGAGTGATTTTTCAAAAGGCCGTATTTCCATTTGCAACAATTTTTCAAAAAAATGACTATAACCTGTATAGGTTAGGGCAATATAGATTATTTAAAAAAAATCTGACGAATATTTAATAATACATCATATTTCGCAGTTAATATATGCCTTTTAACCATACCTTTGGGATTTTGTCAAAAAATTACATTCAAGTAAAAATGGAAATAAGGCCTTTTGAAAAATCACTCATCATATATTCCCTGTTACAGAATGAAATATTTTAACAAAATAAAATAACAAAATAAACACATACTTCCACACAGTGGAAGTATGTGAGAATAACTGTTATTCAATAACATATACTTACCACACATATACCGCTTATTCCCTATATTTTGAATAGATGACCTTGTTACCGTTTTTAAGGGGAGGGTGGCTACTCTCTACCTTTTGCGCACGTGCAGTTCAAAAGTGGGAGATTAAAAAATCAATAATGTTTGTTGGTTATGAATAAATCCAAATGTCAGTTTATGAATTAAGGTTATATTAAAAAAATATTAGAAAACTAGTTTTAAAATGCGAACTGTTTTGCTGTAAAAGTTATTATATTTTTGGTCAAGAATTGGAAATGAGATAATTATATGGGATTTGAAATTGTATTGGTACCTATGAGATTAATAATACTGAGGGTGTGGAATCCACACTGTGGATGCTGCTTCACAGAACATAAGCTGCTTGATTAATTCTTATAGTTATATTTGATTCAAATTTCAAATCGAATATTTGAACTATTAGAATATTTTAAATAAAATAGAAATTGTTTAATAATAATAAAACTTGTTTACAAACGAAAAACACTAGACTAATCTAAATCTAAAAAATCCTAACCCTAAATGAACAAAATTATTCTAAATTAAATTAAGAAGTACAATCTATGTAGGTAAATATCTATGTAAAATATTCCAAAACAGAAATAAAAAAGGTCAAAAAATCGTAAAAGCTCAAAACAAAGTAAACAATAAACCAAAAATGGTTTGTTCTGTGACCAAAATGTTCGATTATAATCTCCTTGGCAATAAGTTCTTGGGTAATAAAATAAGACATAGCCAAATTTCTAATGCTAAAAACATTTTTATAAAATTGAAAAAATAATACTTCTTTTTATTATTAGGTAATACTTAAAAACATAATTTATTAATTCTTTATAAATTATGGAATATAAAATATTTTTATAAGCTTTATAATAACGAAAATAATATTAGAATATAATTACATCTGACAACACGGCCCCACGCGTGTTTAAAACTGCATAAGTAGCTAGCTCCTACTTTAACCCCACGAAAAGGAAACAGCCTGAATCCAAAATGATCTGTATATGTGTGGTAAGTATATGGAGAATAAACACTGGTGGCGACATCTCTGTTTTTAATATCTAACAAATTTTAGACCGATCAACCTCACTTTTTCCCAATTAAATTATTTTTCTATGGTATTTTTTGGAAACGTAGAAAAAGTCTGAAACACGTTTGAAATTGAATATTCCCCTCTAGTGAAACCTTCAAACTCGCCTTCGGCTCGTGTGACAAACGTTTTATTCGAGCGGAATATGCCGTATTCCAAACTTGTTACAGAATATACTATTATCACCGGATGACGGAATAAACACTGGTGGCGACATCTCTGTGTTTATTATCTAACAACTTTTAGAGCGATTCAACCTCACTTTCTCCCAATTAAACGTAGAAAAAGTGTAGTCAGACACACCTTTGGCTCGTGTGACAAGTTTTTCACTAGAGCGGAATATGCCGTATTCCAAACATTACAGAATATACTATTCTATTTTAGCCACCTCAACACTATCAGAGCAAGTATTTTCTGATGCTGGAAACATAGCTTTAGCTAAAAAAAAGCTGTTTAAAGGGAAATACAGTAAACATGTTGGATTTTCTTAAAAATAATTTAAAAAAATATAATCCTTTGGCTAAAAAAGTATAAAAATTGTTAAGATATTTAATTGTTAGGTTAAGAATAGGTTTTAATTTAGGTTTATTTTGTGTTACGTTTATGTTTAAGTTTATTTTTATTTTTTAAATAAAAAATATTGTATTAGAGTTTTCTAATTAGTTTAACCCTTTTTTATTCCTGTTTTCTGTCACCTTCTGTAAATCTTAGTAAATCCTGGTTATCGGTCTTGGTTAACCAAATAACCAATTAACCTATTAACCGGTTTTTCATTATTCGGTTAATTTTTTGCCAACCCTAATTAAGATGTTGTTTTGGAATAACTTACCTCTTTTGTACATTTTATAGTGATGTGGCAATGGGGTTGAATTAAGGTGTCTATAGTCTCTTGAGTCTCATCGTTAATATCATGCCTGCAGAAAGTAAATACACATTACATTTTGTAAGAGGTTTAAAACAAATTACTTTAAACTTTTACGAAATTCTGTTTCGGATGGGCAACGTTGCAACAGCCAAAACTAAAGTATTGCAGACATTCCTAAATTATTTGCTATTAAACGTTAATCATAGTTTCGCTATTTTTTAAAGTAAGCGCTTTGTGTTTATAGTTTGGGGAGCATTACTAAAGTAATGCTTCCCAAAGTATTATGTTTAAACCTAATTAGGTCTTTGTAAATCATTACTAAACCCAAAAGTGCTACTGCTAAAATAGCCAAGCTGTCCCCAATTTACTCGATATTTAGTAATCCTGATAATCGAGAATGCATTCCTAAGCAGTATAATTTTTTGAATGATTTTTTTTCTAATAAATTTTAAAAAAATCTCTATACATGTATATTTTTGGTATATTTGTATAATACCTACAAATACAGGTTTTTATTTCTGAATTTCTGATTTTTTATTTTGCAACTTTTTTTGATTGCACAAAATAACATCTGCTAAACCTAATTTAAAGAAAATTTGTAACTTTTGTTTGTTAGGTAATACTTTTACCGTGCGAAATAATTACATAATTAAAAGTAGAAGTTTAACATAAAAACGAAAGTATCGGTGTTAGCATCTGTAATATAATAATAATATACGGCTTTTGTTAGTTTAATTAAACATTTAATTTAATTTTCGTTTCAAAATTCAATATTTATATAATATCCAATTATTAGAGAGCGGAACATAAAAAGAATTAAATGTTTAAAATATGAACATCTTAAGCATGAAAATATGCATTAATATAACGTAATATTAAAAGTATTTTAATTTATTTTAATGTTTGCTTTTGTAAATCTTTACAATCACATATATGCATTTTAAAGCATTTTTTCTCAAATATTCTGTTGTAAGGTTAATTTTTTTTTTAAATTATAAACAAACGTTTCACGTCCAAAATATGTCAATGCATAATCTGCTATAGGCATTTACATACGTTTTAAATAATTAGTATAGGGCTGTACAATTTAGCCGGTTAAGCCGGCTAAAAAAGTTAGCTAAGTTAATTAGCTAGTTAACTGATCAGCTTAGATAATTTAACCGGTTAACTAAACTAGCTTAGCTAATTAGCTGGCGGCTTAACCGGTTAATCTGGCTTAGCCCAGCTAATTAGCCGTTTAGCCGGTTAGCCGTTAGCAAATTAGCTGAGCTAAGCTAGATTAACCGGTTAAGCGGCCAGCTAATTAGCTAAGCTAATTCAGTTAACCGGTTAAATTAGCTAAGCTGATCAGTTAGCTAGCTAATTAACTTAGCTAGTTTTTTTTCGAACGTTATTTTTTTTCACTCCCGCCTCAAAATTTTTTAGTAACAGTAAAAAAATAATACCCTGTAAGTTTTAGCTCTTAATAATAATATTAAGTACTTTTCCTTAGCGTGGAAAGATTAAAAATACACGTTAACTTGGCAGCATTTTATGCTAAAAAAGTAACTATTGCAGCGTGACTGTAACTCACACTGGTAAGTCCCTACGGCCCCTAAACTTTTTTTTTTGATATTTTTTGAGATATTGAGATTTGACTAATTTTTTATATAAAATTTTTACGGATTATCTTTTTTCCGATTAACTTTTCTTCAAAGTTAAAGGTGGGAAAAATTCAGTACTCTAAGAGGGTGTTCTAAAACACAACACAAAAAAAAACAAAAAAAAAACAAGTTTTTATTTTCTTCAAAAATCTTAAATTATGTTGTTAATTTGCCATTTTTATTAATTGTTGATTATGTCCTTTTTGTAATGAAGTTAAATCAAACAAAATCTGGCAACTTTTATGACAGAATCTAGTAAATTTCTTTCAAATTTTAGGTTATGTTTCTCAAATTGTAAATATCTTAACTAAGGAAAGTGCTTTTGGATTTATTTACACAAATTGTTTTAAGTTTAACCTGAGAACTTGTCCTAATTTATCAGAAAGAAAAACACCGATGAAAAAATTAATTTTGTTGCTATGGAGTTTTTAAAATAGCTACTAAATTTTCTAATCATTGCTTAAGCTAATAGCTGGATGAGTAAATAAATACATAGGGTATTGGAGCTTTAAGGGCATACAACTTTTGTATTTGTATTTGCAAGAAAAATGTTTAGTAACAATTTTTTACAACTGGCAACGCGCAGCTACTTTATTGGTTGGTATCTATGTATCTATGTATTCACAGAACACAAGTGTGCACGCCACAAAAAATATAAAAAACTTCTAATGCATATTTTTTCTTTGTCTTTGGGACAATACAATTCATTATAATTAGAACCAATAAAATGCCAGTATTCCATGGTTACGCGTTTTATAACAGCGACAATATTTTTTATCACCTTGTTTACACGTTGCTAAGGACACTTTTCTTTCAAATGTCAAACTGACAATTCGTTAAATCCTAAAATTTATTATATTTTCCCACTAAATATAACTCGTGGTATCTGCGGACTCGGTTTCAATTCGAAAATATCATCGATGATAATCATACCACTAATACGGAATTTGACCCTTCTAATATCACTTTTATCTATGGAATGACATATATTCCGTAAAGTGTTACAGAATGAAATATTCTATCATCTGATGACAGAATAAACACTCGTGGCGACATCTCTGTTTTTAATATCTAACAAATTTTAGACCGATCCAACCTCACTTTCTTCCAATTAAATTATTTTTCTATGATATTTTTTGGAAACGTAGAAAAAGTATAGTCTGAAACACGTTTGGAATTGCATATTCCGCTCTCGTGAAACCTTCAAACTCGCCTTCGGCTCGTGTGACAAACTCTTCACTCGAGCGGAATATGCTGTATTCCAAACTTGTTACAGAATATACTATTCCATTACACCTTTGTGTTAAAAGGTATTCATTATTTTAATATATTACATTAATTACATAACACCCTTTGTTCCCATTATAAAAAAATTGAATTAATTCGTGACTTAAAAAAAATGTCATTTGAATTAATTCGCGAATTAAATCACTGACTTAATTCATATGAATTAATTCGTGCCAACCCTGTTTGTGATTGCATTATTATTTTTATGTGTAGACTCCTAATCATAAAATATTGTTTTATCGGTAAAGAAGCGGATTCCTAGGGAAGTCGGTCGGCGGAAACCGACCGCGATCAACATCGATCAACATTCAAATTTGAAATGAGGAGAGGAGGATCAGGATAGCAAAAACAAAGTGAATTTCGGCTGGGAAGAAATCAGTGGCGGCTGGTGGATATTAAGTATACCAATATCTCAGTTATTAGACATGGGACCCACACCAAATTTATAATAGTTTATATTGACATTAAATAAACAAGTTCGGCGCAAACAGAATTTAAATTGAAGTTTGCGAAAAAAAGTTAGTTTTTCCTGTCGCCTACCCTGCCTCCAGGCCCCCCTATTTGAGATAATTCAAATTAAAGTGGTGCAATTTATTATCTACTATAATTTATCGACAAATTTAAAATTTTATTTAAAAAATCCAAATATTACAGTTTTTATACCATTTTAAATATTTTTTTATTTTAATAAAATAAATAATAAAAATTTAAAATCGAATAAAATCTGTAATATTTGGATTTTTTGAATAAAATTTTAAATTTGTCGATAAATTATAGTAGATAATAAATTGCACCACTTTAATTTGAATTATCTCAAATAGGGGGGCCTGGAGGCAGGGTAGGCGACAGGAAAAACTAACTTTTTTCGCAAACTTCAATTTAAATTCTGTTTGCGCCGAACTTGTTTATTTAATGTCAATATAAACTATTATAAATTTGGTGTGGGTCCCATGTCTAATAACTGAGATATTGGTATACTTAAAATCCACCAGCCGCCACTGGAAGAAATTGTTGGACGCCTTGAGGAATGAAGTAGGGGTGTGCACAATTTGAAAATATTGATGAGAGCAGTGTATCTACGAACCCTAAAACATGAACTTTAAATTCCTTAACACATTAAATAAGTTATACAGGCCAAAATTACAAGGTCATTTGCGGTAAAAATATCGTTTCTTTTGCGCATTTTTTTAATAAACCTTGAAATTTTTCCTTTTCATCATTTTCTTCTAATAGCAACAACGCACACATCGATGGTTATTTGACAAAACATCGTAAGCGACAATTTTGTTGAATTACTTTTTATTTTATCAAAGTGTACGATAAGCTGCACATGTTAACATAATAGTTATCCCAATTTTAGAATCTAATATTTGCCAGTTTGAATATTTTTATTATTGTAAGCGCCTCTTCTTTTTAATTTGTTACCGATTTATAATGTAAGCGCCTATATGTTCCCGACAAATAATCGTTAGCACCTCCGAGACATGGCGTTTGCGATTTAACATTGTGTCGCTTACGATAATATTGTGCTCCCTCCTTGATCTATCAAGGCGTTATTCCTGCTCTAAACAGTTTATTCGTGAGTATACCTGCATCGGTGATTGCTAACAAGTTTTAAAACAATATTTTATTTCATGAGAAGCTTATAATTCCTTTTTTTCATTGCATTATTAATAGTTATCCTAATTATAATTGTTTTTACGTAGTGTGGTTCGTTAAAAGTGTTTTTTTATAGTAATTGTATGTTGTTCTAGCGTCAAATAATTTGAATTTATAACGGTTAGATCATGGTACCATAGGTTAGATCATGGAGTCCGAACATCATGTAAACAATAATCTTCCTAAGATAAGAGGGCGCTGGTGTTTCGTTTATTCTGAAACGATTGTTTAATTTGTACCGAAACGCTAGCATCGACAATTAGCGCCGCTGGTGGTGAAAAAAGAAACTTAATTTGAACAATTTAGAGAGCAGGTTTTGTCAATTTTCGCTATTAAGTTCGGGCTCCATGGGTTAGATACTGGTTTGTGAATAAAAATCGTTCGTTTTTTTCAAAGAAAGCTAATGTAGAATTTCATTTTCAAACATTGTTTGGCAAAATATCGTTGGTGATATTTTTATAAATTAATGTTTTTGTTATTTTTTTATTAATAAAAGTAAAAAAATAAATGTTGCTAACGATGTTTTGACAAAAGTCAAATCCCACAAAGTAACGTAAATGTAACTTAAGAGACAAGACTAATTTTACATTTTCCTAAAGATGTTCTTATAAAATATCGTATGCCACAAAATTTAATGAAAATTTTAGATTGGATTCGATCTTACTTAAATATTTGAATTCTACATTATTAAAATAATGCCCCACCAGTTTTCAAATAAATAACTTTAAAAATAAAGCTACCTACCACACAAAAAAATCTTTCATGTAAAATTTAGGTTTTGTCGCTTACGATGTTTTGTCAAATAACCATCGACATACCTTTAATTTTAAAATAAATTATTAATTAATATACAAACTTTGTTATATTTCTTTATATTTCAAATTGTTCGGTTTATGAAATGAATTGTTTGTGTAAATGTTCAGTAAATAAATTACACTGTCCAAAGCAAGTTTAATATCGCGACCGATTGTCTAATTTGGCAATATTCATAGAAATAATAATAATAATAATAATAATAAACTTTATTGGAAATCCAAAAGGCTAACGACTTTCGTCTTCCTGCCCAATTACAATTTTGTATATAACAAATACTATATTTTAATTTATGTTCTATACTTTACAAAAAAAAAAAAAAAATGTTATATCATAGAAATATTTATTTACTTATTTATATTCCTAGGAAACCACCTTCGCGACCAAATAGATCCCTGTGGATTTAGATTCCGATAACATTTGTCATTGTTTAATGTTGTTAATAGTTAAAATTGTTTTGATGGTATTTGTTGCCTAAATGGATAGAGTATAGTTCTATGGTTAGCAACACTTTTCAGTTAACTGTCATAAAATATATCTGTCAACCCCCGCTACCTTATTTAAACACACAGTCTTGCGGAAAGACTTTTGCCTAGTTTTTAAACTGAAATGCTTATAAGCATAATAATATTAATTTTAAATTTAAAATTAGTTTTTTTAATGACATTGCTCCCTAGTTTATTTTTAGATTCTAAAGAATATTGTGTATAAATAATTTAAATATATTTTTCTACTCCTATTAGAGGATATAAATATTCAATAGTCGATGCAAATAATGTCAGTAAAATGCCATAGGAGTAGAAAATACCCAATTGGCCAATACCCAATTGGTTTTTTTCCCTATATAATGGTAACCATTATAACTGCCCCGCCTAGCAACGGAATAATAAATAATTCAAATTGTACAGCATCAGGCCTTATCTCTAGTATAATAATATACTAGGTATTAATTCATAATTATACTTATGTTATAGTCGAGGTTATTGTTCTTATAAATTGTAAGTGATAATTGGTGCCAAATTTTGAGTATGTCAGTGGACAGGAAATCGTGGGGTAAATGGAAACACGAATTGTTGAATCCAGGAACAGACAAGATTTGGAAATTGACCAATAGATTTAAGCCACTAATTTAATTGTATCCTTAAACAATTTATCAAAAAAAAATCCACTTAAATGCGGTTTAGGTTTCGAAATAGCTTTACATTTATAATCTATTTTAAGATTTAAAACGCGCAGTACGGATAGGTTTGCTTAACCCTCAAATAGGCGTTGAATATACGTAAAGTCGTATCTCGTTTTTTGTGCTAAGCAAAAATATAATAACCTTTATCATTTATACTTAGCAACAAAAACCCTTACGTATTTTCAACGGTGAAATGACATGCAAATTTAAAAGACCTATTTAAGAATTTACAAAAAAAATATTGTTTATTATACCTATGTATAAAAATATTTAAAACATTATGTTAAAAACCTTGGTTTATTATCTTTATTAAAACTGCCATTTTAAATACAGGCTTTATTAAATTAAAAATTATGTTTGTTTTTCATAAATTTAATTGAAATTATCCTGCATAGCGATCGCAAATCTTTTCCAAATTATTATTTTTTTAGTTTTATTATAATACCTAGGTACCTAGTAGGATCTCAAAAAATATTAAAGAAATAATAAAAATTTAAAATGATACCTATAGCTAGTTAAAATCTGTATGATTTGGATTTTTTAAATAAAATTTGAAATTTGTCGATAAACTATGGTAAATAATAAATTGCACCAATAAAATTTGTATTATATTTTTAGTGGGAGCAAAAAGTTATCTTTTTTTTGCAAACTTCAATTTAAATTCTGCTTGCGCAGAACTTGTTTATTTAATGTCATTATAAACCCATATAAATTTGGTGTGGGTCCCATATCTAATAAGAGAAATCGGTATACCTACCCAAAATCCACCAGCCGCCACTACTACCTATGTTAATTAAATAAATAATACCTAATTAATCTTTATATTAAACTGGTAGGTAGGTAATTCTGCATTAACAACTCTCTTAGTTTATAGTATAGATACAATGCCATTAGCGAATTACTTCCTGTAGAGTTTGTTTATAAACATTGCAAAATCTACATACAAACAAATACCTATATGTATATGTATATCATGCAAAGTGGGTATTAATAACAACAAAAAATTAATGCGTTAAATTGATAAATCACGGAAATTGCTAAACATTAAATAGAACAATAATAACAATTAATTATTAAAATAAATAAAGGTAAAGATCAATTTTGAAAGTAGCGAAAGCAGATATAAGAACAAAGAACGGCATTCAACATGGATCGATCGGCTTACAAAATACGAATATTAACGTACTCACTTAAGTTTTTTGCAGTTTTCAAGCACTTTCTTCTTTTCCCAGCCTTCCTGTGTCTTAACCCATGCTTCACCCGGAGATCTCCAGTCTTTCGATATGAAAGGCATTGTTAGGGAAATATGTTTGTCTGGAACAGCTGATATAAACAACACAACTTATACGCACTACACTAGAGGATGGCAGCGCTCAAGTTTGCGCACCAGCTGATTGTTTTATGCGCGTGCGCTTCCTCTTCTCCATGTGGTTCCTTGATGCCGTGACAGTTCATTTACCTGGATTTTTATGCTTTATAATTAAAAAGTTATTTTTGTGCAAGTATTACGGAAAATAAAAGAAGTCAATTTCTATAGCAAATGATCTCATGTGTGACTCACTTCAATTGCACTTTGAAATAGTGCGGAAACTTCTTCACACTAAAATAAAATGTACTTGCAATGATAAAGATGTTTATCTTCAAGCGTTCTATAGGTACTTTAATTGTTGTCAACGCTTAAAAGAATTTCTAAATCGAGATTAAATTGATTCTTGATTGCGACATTATTTTGGATTCTCGAATGATATCAGTTTTTTTGTTGGCAAAAAAATACTTTTTTGCTTAAAACAAAACTTTTATTCTTGAATGCAAAAAAGGCATGTCGCAATCTAGCATAAAAAATAACTAAGGGACAGATCCTGCCAGGATCATCCTGGTGGGCCGCTAGTCAGATTGGACCTAACGACTTCCACCCATTATAATTTCACATAAAACTTTTTTTTGGAAATAATAAATTTTGATTTACTTAAAATTTACAGAATTTTTATTATTTTCAACTAAAAAAATAATATCGAGACGAGAAAAAAAATTAAAATAAAACCAAAAATTCAATTTTTGATATTTTGAAAATTTTTAAAAGTCTTGAGCGCCCCCTAAAAAAATTTTAATCGAGCTGATATTTTGACAGGGCTCTTACAGCATGATAAACTAACATATTTTTGCAAGAGACGAGAAAAAAAATATTTTTTGGGCCACCCTAATATATTCTATGTATATATATATATACAAATAAAGGGTGATTCATTTAGACCTTTTTTTTTAAATTCTAGATAAAACGCATAAAATAGAGTTGGATGGCGGAATCTTTATTATGACCTAAAAGAACGATCTTTGACATTTATTTTTTTTAAATAATTTCATTTAAATGCTGGCCGCGTACAGCGTGGTCCATTCGGAAGGTCCAATTTTCCATCACTCTTTCTAGCATTGCGACCGGTATCTGCCCAATTACCCGAGTAATGATTTCTCAATAAAGCTATTGTTTCGCGGGCTGTGTGTGCCGCAGCTCCGTCTTGTTAAATCAAAAGTCTTCGTCTATAATCCAGCTACGATTCAGGACTAAGAAGCCAACATTACTCGCCTCATTGGGCAGATACCGGTCGCAATGCTAGAAAGAGTGATCGAAAATTGGATCTTCCGAATAGACCACGTACGCCGTAGTCCCGGACAGCATTTAAATGAAATTATTTTCAAAAAATAAATGTCAAAGATTGTTCTTTCAGGCCATAATAAAGATTCCGCCATCCAATTCCATTTTATGCATTTTATTTAGAATTTCAAAAAAAAGGTCTATATATATATATACATACAGTGTGTCCACGGATGGACTTAACTATACTTGTAAAAATATTTATTTTTAATTTTCCGAGGAAAAGTCATTTTTCATATATTTTTTTTTGCTTGTTATATAAATACGATTTTTGTTGAGACTATTTATTTTGTTGTACAGGGTGAGCAAAAATACATTGCGACCGAAATTTGGCAACATTGCATGATTGTGCTTAACTGTTCTGTGCTTTACTCGACCGTTTCATTATTTTAATATTTGGGGTTTCGCACGTTATTAGCGTCCATAATAATGTTTGAAAAATCTAAATTTTCATTTTAATTATTTTTAGTAAACTAGTTTAAATAAAAATAAGCTGGAATAAAATTATTTATTAAAAATAATAAAAGTACTTACCTACCTATTAAAATATTTAAAAAATTAAAAATATTAAGAATATTAAAAATATTAAATATATTAAAAATATTAGAAATATTCAAATATTTAAAATCTTTAAAATATAAGTCATAAAAATATCTATTTTTTTTTAAATAATTTAAAAAATTACATATTTCAGAATCCTTGCAACTACGTAAAAAAGTCAATTTTTCTGAAAATGTCCAAATTTTCGGAAAATTAAAAAATTATTTTTAAAATGCTAGTAGTAATTTGAAGGCTTAAAGAAATGATTTATTTCGTTTTTTTCTCCATGGTGCAGAAAAAAAATTGGATTAAAAAGTTATTAACGGCCTTACCAAATAAAAATAAAGCATTTATTCATAAATAAGATAAAAAATGCTCTTTTTATTATTATAAATTGGTATTTTTAAATTAAAAAAAAAATTTTTGACAATAAAGACAATTTTTTCAAGGTCCAAGGAAAAAACGGATAAAAACAGGTTATCCTTTTTTTGAAAATCACATTTTTGTTTTTAATTTTGGTCCGATTTTTAATAAGTTGGTAAAATGTAACATTAGGTATCACCCAAATACTTTTTTTTAATTTAAATGATCAATTTTGGTATACATGGTATTGATTTGAGACCATTGATATACAGGGTGTTTCACGTTCGTGGTCCATTAGAAGTTTCTGGGAACGGAAAAAGTTACTTAAAATTTGAAAAGCGTTTATAATTCATCTTCGTACAAGTTTATAAATTGTTTTAAAGAAAATTCCTCTTCCGGTTTAACCGGAAGTGACATCAACTTTGTTATTTCAAATGGAACACACCATATATTTTTATATTTTTAAATTCCACATAAAATTCTGAGTAAAATTACTTTACCATGTCCTATACCTAAATAAATAGTTTTTGACTAATTTTTTTCGTTAAAATTTGACAAATGCGCGTCTATCAAAAATAGGCCATAACTTTTTTGTTTTTAGGTTTACGGATACTTATGGGGTAGAATTTTTTGAATCTTAAAACATTGTTTAAAAGATTCCATATAAATTCTTTAATATTTCTCAACAAATTACTTGAGAAAAACCAGGCCAATTAGGCTAACTTGAAACGTTAATAACTTTTATATAACACCCGCGGGTATGTTTTTACACAACCAATTAGAAAATTAAAAATCCTTTCGATTAATTTAACTATTCCCTATCCCTAAAGTTAATAACACAGTGCAACAGTCTAAAAGGGAATGGGATGAAATCAAAAGCAAATGAAAGGTAATAAATAGCTTCTACAAAAAAACCTTATGAGGTTTTTTTTAGATCACGTCTCAGTTTTTTATTATACGCATTTAAAGTTGGAAGATTTTTGGACAACCTATAGGTTGTCCAAAAATCTTCCAACTTTAAATGCGTATAATAAAAAACTGAGACGTGATCTAAAAAAAACCTCATAAGGTTTTTTTATATATAATAGGAAAAAAATAAATAAAACAATTTTAATTTTTTTAAATTATTCTGGCAATATAGTCGAGGAATCCATTCCAAGTAAAGAGCATTTTTACTAGAAAATTGGGCATTTTTTATAAAAAAAAAATATTCTCTTTAATGCTTTAATCAAAACACAATACTTGTATACAAAAACTACATTTTTTTGTGGTAATATATTGTAATATATATATATATCGATGGTATTTTTGCAAAAGGGCGAATATGCCATTTTCCTGTTTTGATAAAAACAAAAAAAAGTATTTCGGCGTATTCGCCCTTTTGAAAAAATATTATTACTACAAAAAATTGCAGTTTTTGTAGCAAAAACGAAGTTGTTTAAAGGTAAAATTGATTTGTTTACTTAAAAACACATAATATTATGTACTATATATATACTATGCCAATAACAAATGTAAGGCAGTGTGGCAAATTATTAATGAAAATCAGGGGAAAAAATATACTGTATCAACTCCAACAAGCATTAATGCTAATGAATTTAATTTATTTTTTACAAATGTTGCTAATAATATAGTAAACAATTTGCCAGCCATTTCTCAACCTGTCTTGAGCAATAACATTAAAAAAAATCTTAATAATTTTAAGTTTTCTTTAATAACTTTTAATGTCCTAAGAGATATAATTGTGCAACTTAAGGATTCCCGATGCATGGATGTTTATAGGTTGAATTCAAAAATGCTTAAATCAATTGTTCACCTAATCATCTATCCACTATGCAAATTATTTAACGAATCAATTTTAAAAGGGGAATATCCCTTAAGCCTTAATATTTCCAGGGTTTTACCTTTGCATAAGAAGGGCGACATTAATGAACTTAACAACTATAGGCCAATTTCTATAACACCTATTTTAAGTAAGATTTTTGAGAAGGCATTAGCAAAACAAGTTGCAAATTATTTTGAAACGTTTAACCTTTTTTCAACGTCACAGTATGGTTTTCGACAAAACTTATCTACAAGCATTGCAGTAAGTCACCTAGCCGAGTTCATATGTGGCTCATTTGAGGAGGGAAGTTTTACGGGTACTGTTTTTTGTGACTTGTCAAAGGCTTTTGACTGCGTTTCAAGGAAAATCCTACTTGAACGATTGGAAATGTATAATTTCTCAGATAGTGCTGTATCACTGATGTCGTCTTTTTTATCGAATAGATATCAAATGGTCCAAGTTAACAATACAGTATCTGACGTTTTACCTTTGAATCTTGGAGTACCTCAAGGCTCGGTTCTTGGACCGATTTTATTTTTAATCTTTATTAATAGCCTACCAGTGGATCTACCGGCTTTAAAATTATTTTTATTTGCTGATGATACAACAGCAGTGGTAAAAAATAAATCATTTGAGAATGTGAGTCTGAAAATGCTTGAAACCCAGTCAAAATTAAGCTCATGGTTTGCTTGTAACGGATTGTGCTTAAATTTGGAAAAGACAAAGACCTTCTACTTTTCTCTGCGTCAGCTTCCGTGCCCCAACGAAATAGATTCAGTTGTTTTTCTGGGTCTAAGGCTTGATTCGGGGCTGACTTGGGCTGCACACGTAGATGATGTGTCAAGGTCTTTGTCTTCATGTGTATATTTGCTGAGGCGCCTGAGCTTGATGGTCTCGGAAAATGTCCTAAAATGTG